GCAACATTTTTATTTGTTGCGTCTTATTGCTAAGTTGTAGTTTCAGCTCTGCTGTTGAGAGTGATATCAACTGCCTCAAAAGCATAAAAGCATCACTTCAGGACCCTTTAGGTTACTTAAACTCTTCATGGGATTTCAGCAATAAAACAGAAGGTTTCTGTTGATTTTTCTGATTTGAATTGTAATACCTTTTTATTTTTTTTTCTTTATAGAAAGCCTTATGAGAAGGCATACTTATACACAATACAAAGGAAGCTGAAAACTTTACACCCTACACACTTGTAATCGGATGCAACAGCACACATGCACATGCACATTCCTTTCCCTGCTGTCCATGTACAAAGAAAGCTGAAAGCTTTACACCCTTGTAATCGGATGTAACAGCACACATGCACATGCACATTCCTTTCCCTGCTGTCCATGAGTCAGCAATCACATGCACATTCCTTTCCAGAGTGCACACCCTTGCTGTCTTTCCTTTACCCATGCTTGCCGTGCTGTATGCTTGCTGTGCTGTCTGTACATACAGCTTGTTGTCTTTCCTTTACCCATGCTTGCCGTGCTGTATGCTTGCTGTGCTGTCTGTACATACAGCTTGTTGTCTTTCCTTTACCCATGCTTGCCGTGCTGTATGCTTGTTGTGCTGTCTGTACATACAGCATGCCGTGCTGTCCTTCTTCCAATACTCCCCCTCAAGCTGGATCCAGTAGGTTGATGGATCCAAGCTTGGAGAGGAGTCTTTGAAACTGATGAGAAGCCAGAGGTTTGGTGAATATATCAGCCAGCTGATCGAAGCTTTTTACATAATGTGTCTGAATCACCTGCGACTGTACTTGTTCACGGACATAGTGACAGTCGACTTCAATATGCTTCGTCCTCTCGTGAAAGACGGGGTTTGATGCTATGTGCATGGCAGCCTGGTTGTCACAAAATAAGGTCATTGGTTGAGCTGTGAACACACCTAAGTCACATAAAAGTCCTTTTAGCCATATTAGCTCACACGCAGTTGAGGCCATTGCACGATATTCAGCTTCGGCACTTGATCTTGCGATGACAGTTTGTTTCTTGCTCTTCCACGTGACCAGGTTTCCACCAACAAAGGTACAATAACCAGTGGTGGACTTGCGATCGATTGCGTTTCCTGCCCAATTAGCATCACAGTACCCCATGATTTGAGTGTTGTCATTCTTTACCATGAGGATGCCACGACCAACAGACCCTTTTAAGTAACGTAAGATTCTTTTGATAAGGTTCAGATGCTCGATGGTGGGAGAGTGCATGAACTGACTGGCAATACTTACTGAATGTGAGATGTCTGGTCTGGTGATCGTTAGGTAGATCAGCTTGCCGACAAGCCTCTGATATAAGCTGATATCCGAGAGTGGCGTGCCTCCCAAGTCAAGCTTGAGCTTGCTATCAAGAGGGGTAAGTGCAGGCTTGGCATCACTCATATTGGCATCTTTAAGTAGGTCCATGACGTATTTTCGTTGATTAAGAAATAGTCCCTTGTAAGAAGATGCCATTTCGATTCCAAGAAAATACTTCAACACCCCAAGATCTTTAATCGCAAATTGTTGTTGAAGTGATTGTTTGAGTGTGGTGATTTCAGCAGCATTATCACCTGTAATTATTAAGTCATCCACATATATCAACACAACTAATTTGCTTGCAGCTCTTGTGCGAACAAATAATGATGAATCTGCATTACTCCTTTTGAAACCAATGCTATGAAGAACGGTACTTAGTTTTGCATACCAAGCACGTGGTGATTGCTTCAGTCCATAAATTGACTTATGTAACTTACACACCAAATTAGGCTCTTGGCTTTGAGGGTGTCCTGGTGGCAATCTCATATAGACTTCTTCTTCAAGATCACCATGTAGAAAGGCGTTCTTCATGTCCATTTGATACATAGACCAACCTTTATTGACGGCAACAGACAATAGAACCCTTACTGAGTTCATTTTTGCAACAGGAGCAAATGTTTCCTTGTAATCCACCTCAAATGTTTGAGTGAATCCTCGAGCCACCAGCCTGGCTTTATGCCTCTCAATCGAACCATCAGAATTAAACTTGATCTTATAGATCCACTTACAGCCCACTGCCTTTTTTCCTTGTGGAAGTTTGGTGATGCTCCAGGTTTTGTGTTGGTCTAGTGCTTTGAGTTCATCTCTCATTGCTTCTTTCCACACAACTTGATTATTAGCCTCATAAAAGTTTTGAGGCTCACTGTGACTTGAAATGTTGTTAAGAAAGGCAGCATGAGATGGAGTTACCTTTTGATACGACACGCAATTTGAAATTGGATGCCTCAGTTTATATGTGACAAAATCTTGAAACCTTGTGGGAGGTTGTCTATCCCGCCGAGGATTGCGTCGAGGTACTAGGAGGTTTGTCTCATCCGCGTTCAAATTGTCATCCACACCTTGAGGATTTTCTATGTTGCCGTTGTCATCATCATGCACCGAGTCATCATCATGCACAGAATTGTCAGGATGAGTACCTTCATTATTGACTTCAATGGGAGGTGTAGAAGTACAGATTCTTGGTAGAGGAATTAGGTCTAAGATGCACTCCCCCTGACTTGTGGCTTCATGTGATTTGCTGAAAAAAGGGTTAGCTTCATGGAATCGTACATCTTTAGATACAATTATTTTCCTTAGTTGAGGATCATAGCACTTATATCCTTTTTGTGTTGATGAATAACCAAGAAAAATACATTTGAGAGCTCTAGGGTCCAACTTATCTCGATGGTGTGACTGTATATGAACAAAACAGACACAGCCAAAGACTCTAAGATGTGAAAGGTCGATTTTTCTTCCTTTCATGACTTCAAGTGGAGATTTAAACCCCAAGACTCGGCTAGGAAGTCTATTGATGATGTACATAGCCGCCATGACTCCTTGTGACCAAAATCTGTTTGGTACGTTCATTTGTAACATTAATGCTCTCGTTTTTTCCATAATGTTACGATTTTTCCTTTCAGCTACACCATTTTGTTGAGGTGTGCCGACAAAACTTGTTTGATGCATGATACCATGCTTGCTCAAATATAATGACATGATATGGGACATATATTCGGTGCCATTGTCAGATCTTAAGGTTTGAATTTGAGAGGAAAAATGGTTCTTAACAAGATTGTGAAAATCCTTAAAAACTTCAGTCACTTCACTCTTAGACTTTAAAAGGTACAACCATGTGGCTCTAGAGAAATCATCGACAAAAGTTACATAATACTTATAACCATCAAAAGATTCAAACGTTGGTCCCCATACATCTGAGTGAACTAGTTCGAAAACTTTACTTGTCCTAGATAAGGATGAGGTAAAAGACAATCTGGTGGCTTTAGACAAATGACATGTTTCACACGAAATTAAATCATTCCCTAAGTTTGGAAACAAGGAAGACAAAACATGTTGGGAAGGATGAGCTAAACGTTGATGCCACAATTGACTATCTTGGGATGGACTGGACTTGGCTTGAAATCCTCTGGGACTATTTTTTGATATGTAATAGAGGCCATCTAGGTAAAACCCTTCACCAATCGTCTTCTTGGTGAGGCAATCCTGAAAAATGACATTGTGAGGAGAGAAAATGGCCAAACAATTTAAGGTATTGGTGATTTTTCCCACAAATAGAAGTTGAAATGGAAAAGAAGGAACAAATAAGGCTACTGACTCAATTTTGTCCGATATTAAGTTGATATTTCCCTTCCCTAAAACTTTAGAACTCTCACCATTGGCAGTTGAGACTTGAGACGGTTTTGAAAATTTTTCAAACTTGTGAAACTTAGAAACATGGTTGGTCATATGATCTGTGGCACCCGAATCAACAATCCACAAATCATGCATCATATTTACATTAAGAGCAGTTTTAAAAGCAGTCATGATACCTTGCATGTCATCTTGGGCCATGTGTTGTGTTTCTGTCAGAAATCCAGCAAACTTGCCTAGCAAAGCTATTGAATTTCCATCTTCAAAGCCGACCGTTTGGTCACTCTTAATCCTTTCTTTCTTGCTTTGAAGATACACTGCAAACTCATTTATGAGTGCAGCTGGATTTGCAGTGAAGCTCTTGAGTGCATCAGCCTATGAGAGGTTGAGGTAGTTGCATTGTTGGCTCTATGTGGTGCACGGTTCAGTCTTTGTGAGCCCTTGTTATCCTTCATGAACTCTGGCTTTAATTCTGGATGTAAAATCCAGCATGTCTCCTTAACGTGACCAGTATAGTTGCAGTGTTGGCACTTTAAGTGTGGATTCTTCACTTTGTATTTTCTTTCGTTGGCTAGATAAGCCCTTGCTTCAGTTACACTGGTCTTTGTGCCAGTGTTCATGACTTTCCTTCGTACTTCTTCACGTTGGATTGTTGCACATACGCTGGTGAAGGAAGGTAGTTCGGGGTTCATGAGTATGTGGCTTCGTAGGTCTTCGTATCCTGAATCGAGACTTGACAACAGTTGGAATATCTTGTCTTCTTCTGCCATTTTCAGTAGTAAAGACGCCTCAGTTGTGTGAGGCCGATACATTTCCAGCTCATTCCACATGCTCTTCATGCTGCCTAGAAGTTGAACAAAGGGCTTTCCTTCTTGTTGTATGTTGGAAATGTTCTTCTTCAATTGAAACACACGTGCAACATTGTTCTGGCTGCCATACATCTCCTTGACTGTCTCCCATAGTTTGAATGATGATTCAGAATAACTGAATATTTCAGCTAGTTTACGTTCCATGGAATTTAGGAGCCATGACATAACTAGCTGATCCTTGCAAAGCCAGATTTCATAAGTTGGTGAAGAAACATCAGGAACTTCGATGCTTCCATTTATGAACCCTAGCTTAGACCTTCCACCTAGGGCAAGACTCACTGCTCTCGACCAAGGTAAGTAATTAAACTCATTTAACAAGACCGAGCTTAATCTTTGATTTGGATTGACATCCACCTCAGACACGGTTGAGGAGGAAGGTATCTGGGAATCTCCAAACGAATAAGAATTCTCTTCCGCCATGTCGGAGATGGAATACGATCAGCTGGAAGAAATGCAGAAGCAGGTTATTTTTCCTGCTCTGATACCATGTTGATTTTTCTGATTTGAATTGTAATACCTTTTTATTTTTTTTTCTTTATAGAAAGCCTTATGAGAAGGCATACTTATACATAATACAAAGGAAGCTGAAAGCTTTACACCCTACACACTTGTAATCGGATGCAACAGCACACATGCACATGCACATTCCTTTCCCTGCTGTCCATGTACAAAGAAAGCTGAAAGCTTTACACCCTTGTAATCGGATGTAACAGCACACATGCACATGCACATTCCTTTCCCTGCTGTCCATGAGTCAGCAATCACATGCACATTCCTTTCCAGAGTGCACACCCTTGCTGTCTTTCCTTTACCCATACTTGCCGTGCTGTATGCTTGTTGTGCTGTCTGTACATACAGCTTGCTGTCTTTCCTTTACCCATGCTTGCTGTGCTGTATGCTTGCTGTGCTGTCTGTACATACAGCATGCCGTGCTGTCCTTCTTCCAATAGTTTCATCTGTAACTTTCTGGGAATCGAGTGTTGGCCTCACGAGAGCAAAGTTGTAAATATCAGGCTTTCGGATTTGGGGCTCAAGGGCCCGTTTCCTCATGGTGTAGCGAATTGCACAAGCTTAACAGGATTAGATCTTTTGAGCAACAAGCTCAGTGGACCTCTTCCTGAAGATATCGGTAGAATTATTTCGTTCATTACAATTCTTGATCTCTTTTCTAACAGCTTCTCAGGGCAAATGAAGGAAGATTTGTGAAAAACAAGTTCATTTAAGCAACATCAACAACATGCAATTAACAATTAAAAGGCGGAATCATGTTTATATGCACTCAAAAACAAAACTTAACCCATGAACTTCAAAGCCTAGTAGATAGGTGAACCAAGACTCAACTCAAAACAAAGTGAGTTGAGAAATCAATACCTTTGTAGATTCCTCTTTTCATAAGCAAAGGCTAATCACCCAAAGAGAGGGCCTTCATTCCTTGCATCTTAGATCCATGGATTTGGATGGATGAAAAGGTTTCTCCAAATTCCCAAAATTGAGAACCTCTAAGTCTCCACACCAAGGCATATTGAAGAAGAAATGAGTGACCTAGAGGAAGTAAGATTGCTAGCTTTTCCCCTCTAGATTGGCCGGCCTCTTTGAGAGCAAAGGGAGGTTTGTGTTCTCATCTTTACTCCTAAGAAAACCCCTAAGGATGAAATGGCTATAAAGATGTCTTTATACCACCTCACAATGGAGTGGCAAACTTGCAATTAAGCCAAGTTCACTACCCTCCTCTAAATGGCCGGCCTAAGGGGATTTATTGGGCTATTTGGGCCTTTGTGAATCATTATTCATTAAGTTGTCATACAACTTAAGTCAATGGACTTGACGTTCGAAGCCCATTGGGCCTTAAGGTCCAAAACTATCCCGAGGTCTTTAACGAACTTATTCGTTTGATTAATTAACATATTAATTAATCCTTGCCATAAATAATTAAACCATTTAATTATTCTTACTCATCTCCGTTGAATCTTCAATCTTTACCTTACACGGTGTACGATCCATTAGGTTCCTTTTAGCGAGGCAGTGGGCGATTCAAACTCTTTCAAATCGATTGTGAATTGGAACTTACTTTCAATTCTCCCGTTAGTGATAATACACTTTTAGGGCTTCCACAAACCATGGTTGACGCCTAGCAGCATGTCATGGTTACCCAAGCTAATCAGAAGAGGTGGAGAACCTATTCAGTTTTAGGATTACAAATGCAATACGGTCTTTCTCTAATACAATACTCTTGACCACATTGTTTGGTTTGATAGTTTATTCATGTCTACTATCCAATGTGAGTCTTGTGCTTATATGATTACCTTGAATGTGATTTGGAACACATTCCTAAATCTCATTCATACTTTGGCCAAAGATTCTTAATCATATCATAGAGTATTCTCCCTCAAACAGTTTGAAGGTTAGAGATCCTTTGTTGCGCATTCACTTGCCTCCATGGCTAAGTGGCTTAACCCCAACGATGCCGTGGACACCCTCCTGATGGAGTGACTTTGACATAATCAAAGATTAAGGACCTAACCACAAGACAACTGTGATGCCTCAGGTCAAAAGACTAATTTGCATTATCTCAACCATGAGTTCTCATGTGACATGAATATGAGAACTCTTCGTTGATCGTGTTCAGTGAACTCATTCTCTATTGAGCACCTACGTACTTGTCTTGATGTCAGACACACCAATGACTCGAGACTAGTCACTCTCCCTGAGAGAAGACATAGCACGTACTGATTTTAACGGACTGTCAATGCCCAATTGACAATCCTATGATCAGGAACGTTTAGGATGTGTCAACGAAAGAATGGTCTCATGAATCTAACTTCTTTAGATCGCATTCTTCCAATCACATATTCCTTGGACTTATCGTTTAAGCATATAACATTTATATGAGACGGCTCAAACAATAATCTTTGCCCTTTACATTTAAACTACATTAGTTTAACTTTGTGAAATATCCGTAAAGTATCATCATATGATTGGTTTTAGGGCACATTTCCAACAGCAAATCCCACCAAATCTTACCAATTGTAGCTATCTGAATGTGCTTAAGCTTGACAGCAACCAGTTCACCGGTAACATCCCTCTAGGGCTTGGCCAGCTCAGTAGGATTAAAACATTTAGCGTGGCAAACAATCAGCTCTCTGGCCAAGTCCCAGACTTCGGTAACAATGTTTGAATTGCAGCAGAAAGTTACGCAAACAATGCTAAACTTTGTGGGAAGCTTCTAAAGCCTTGTCGATCGTCTTAAGTGAAGTCCACTAGTACTCTAGTTAAGGTTTTGAAGTCAAACAGTGTTGTTATAGCAACAGCAGCTGGTTTTGGATTTGCTTTTCCTTTTTCTTTCTGTTTTTTCCTTCCAAGAGCTCCTAGTGTGCGTCTTCTATCGAGGATATAAACTGAGGTAGCCAGTAACCTTTGTCCTTTTATGTTATGTTTCAGTGAAATACATGCAGAGTTCTTGTTTCGGAGCATTTTCAGTGTACCATGAAAATCCTCATGTGATGTTATTATTATTCCACTCAAATTATAATATACATATGTAGATCTCTCGTTGAACAGCTTCTCGGGGAAAATCCCCCCGAATCTTCGAATTGTAGCTATCTGAATGTGCTTAAGCTTGAAAACACTGAGTTCGCGGGTCAAGTTCCACATTTAGTGTGGCCAACAGTCGTCTATCTGGTCCAATCCCAAATTCCGGTGGTTATGTGCAGTGGCGAAGCCGGAAATTTACAACAATGGGGTCATAAAATAGAAGCTTCCAAAAATTCATCAAACTTTTACTTATAATTGTTAACTAATAATTTTTTTTTCTACAAAATATTCATGAAGGGTGCTTGAATTGGATTCACGAATACAACCAAGTGCGATGAAGGGTGTTTGAATGAACTTAAACCTCAGGGAAGCTTTGAATTAAGAGATATAAAGTCTAGATGGAAAATACGTTTGAGAAAATTAGAATTAGATGCCTCATTTTAGACTTTTGTAGACTAAACATTTATGCTTTTTGAGTTTTTGATTAAGCTTTTGAAACATTTGATTAAGATACTCAAACTTGAACTACTTCAGATTAATTGAAATTAATTTACATTTAAATATCTGCTATATATTTTAAATAATTTCAACTATATTTAAGTTTAAAAATTTAAACATTTCAAATCTAAATGTACACCCATGCCAAATGGAAACGTACCAACATTAAATGAAAATGTATGTCAAACGAAAACGTACCAACCCCGAATTCAAACGTACCCAATTATAAACTATATTAAAATGAATATTCATCTTTTCGAAATGTTTAAAAATATGTTTAATTCATACACAATGCTTTAGATAGTCTTGGTTTTTGGTTGATAAGTCTCTGGAACAACTTTTAGTTGATCGGAGATAAATCCTTATTATTGTAGATAATGCTAAATAATAACAATAAATCATATAATTTTGAATTAACAAAAAGGTTATTATCCGTTGATTAATGGCTCTTTCTAGAAAGAAAAAATAATTAATTAAAGTAATTCAAACTTTTACATTGTTAACGACTCTTTCTATAAAAAAAAATAATTAATGTAATTCCTCATTATTAGAACAAAAAGTAATAAAACTTATGTTTTGAAAACAAACATACCAAAAATTCAAATGTACAAAAAACTAAATGTACTAAAAATTTAAATGTACCAAGAAGCCAAATGGACCAAAAATTCAAATTTACCAAGTAATTAAATGTACTTGTACCATTATAATCAAACGTACCTAATTAACAACGAGTTTTGTTACATTATATTTGATTTACTAAAATAAATATTTTAATAAAAAAAAAATCTTAAATCATTATAATAAGAGATGCATAAAAATAGGAGGAAAAAAAGGAATGTTAACGTGAATAGACTTCAAATGAAATAAAATTAAATTACCAAAATTGTAGGAAAAATGTTTAATCAAATTTGCAAAAGGAATAGATGTTTAATCTATATTTCAAAATGAGGCTTCTAATTCAAAACGTCCCAATACGTTTCTATGTTTGATAAGTCTTCAGCTTGTTTGATAAGTCTTCTTATTTCATGATCTGTTGACACATATAATATAATAACGATGAGAATGTCGAAAATCGATCAATAATATGTCGGATTCTTTTTGTTGACAATAATGAGTAGTCTTTTTTTTTTTCTTTCTTTCTAATCGACAATTAGTTATTAAAAAAAAAAAAAAAAAAAAAAAAAAAAAAAACACATATTCAACAGCCGAAGTAATGGAATGAATATAATAACGAGAAGCATGTCGAAAATCGGTCGATCATATGTCAGATTCTTTTGTTGACAATACTGATTAGTCTTTTTTTTTTTTTTTCTTTCTTTTCTAGTCGACAATTAGTTATTTTATAATAATAATAATAATAATAATTAAAAAAAAAGAAAAAAAAGGAACACATGTTCAATAGCCGAAGTAATGGAATGGATATTTTTCTCCATCTCGTCCTCTTTTGTACCATTGTATGTATAGTTATAGTTAGACTTTGTGGCTTTAGGAACTTGCTCATCGACTCTATATTATGTTGTGGTTTGTTCTTAGGTATTTGTCAATTTCACCATATGCGTAAGGAAATTGGCCACCTCTGCTGTCTCTGCATCATTAATCGATCTCTTCATATATGATAGATATAGAAGCAAAAGTGGAGAACTTGGACCACTTTTCGGGTTTAAGAAATAGATAACTTAAGAGTGAAGATTAGGGATGGGCAAACGGGTTCTGGACCTGCGGATCGGGATGGATCCTTACGGTTCGGGATGGGTAATGTTTGGGTCCAAAAATTATAATTACAAAATCGGGCGGGTCTTTGTAAAAAACGGAGCGGGCCGGTTTTAAAATTTGGAAAAAAGGGGCCCTCGGCCCGGACCGTTTATTTCCTACCCTTTCTTAGTCTCAGACCGAAATAGCTCAACCTCAACACCACTTCTTCCTCATCCTCAAGCCTTTTCTTTCTCCATGGACCTTTAACAACAACCCAATCTTCTCCGGCAACCCCAAACCCAATCTTCTTCGGCAAACCATCTTCTTCCTCCCTTCGGTGCAGATCTCACACTGAATTACTCTTTTCTCCAGCAACCCACCTCCAATCCTTCTATTTTGTAGCAACTACATATCGTCCTCCTCCGTCGTGGACGACATCGATTATTAGATGTTTTCTATCGTCTTCCTCCACGAACTTCAGGCCACCGATGATTAGCCATGGCCAGAAACAAGAGGGGAGGCCTTGGGGTTTTGAATCTGGCTTCTGGGTTTTGCGTTTTGAGTTGAATCTAGCTCCTTTGATCTTTAATTACAATCACATTTATACAGATATAGATATTAGATATATATATATATATATATATATATATATAGTGTGAGTGACTGATTTAAAGAAAAAAGAGGGATCCGAAAAACGACGGATGTGTGGAGAAATAGGGGCCAAGAGTTGAGAGGGTTTGAGAGAGAGAGCTGCGACCTTAGGGTTTCGAAGGTAGAAATGGAAGGATGGACGGTGGCTGTTCAATTTGTGCCACACCTTCGTTTTCAGGTTCCGTTTGGACGACGATCGGGAGCGAAGCAAGATCGAGAGTTGCAGAGGAAGCTCGGTTTCTGGTGATTCCACTAAGTCCTGTCTTTGATCACTAGATTGGGAGTGAAGCAAGATCTAGAGTAGCAGAGGAAGCTCTGTTTCTCTTCCAGTTTTTTAGTTTCTGTTTGGTTTAATTTGTGCATAACATGAGCTCAATTCCAACTGTAGTTTTGAATTCATGCATAATCCCATCTGGGTGGCCTTTTCGACTCTGAATTCCGATTGTGATTTCCGAGTTCGATTTTTCTCATCATTTTACTTGAATCTGCTCTCCTCTTACTTGAATCTGCACCACGATGTCAATGGAGAGGACATCGTGGCCTTGGCGGAGGCGAAGACATCGAGGAAGATGGCGATTTAGTTAAAAAAAGTAAAATAAAAGACCTGTGGACCCGGCCCATTTCTAACGGGCCGGATTAGATCCGGTTTTTGTATTAAAATATGATGTATCCAGTCCGGCCCAGCCCATTCCTTTTAAATGCGGTTCTGGTCCGGTCCCTTTAAAATTGGGTCTGACCTAGCCCGTGCCTAGCCCTAGCGAAGATAGGGCACTGACGTGGCAAAAGTACTCATGATGTAGGACAAGAATTAAGTTATTTCACGAGTAATAAAATTAAAAGGAAGAGGGGACAATCAAGAAAAGTAATTGGGAATTGATAATTCACATGTTGAAAGGTTATTTTATGGTCATATCTTAAAAGTGAATGTTTTGAACTTTTCAGACTATTCGAATTGACGTAATTTTAGTTCAGTATGTTTGTTTTGGATCTGTAAGTGTTGACCCTAAAAATTACAAAGCCTACGCGCCGCGCAGGTCGAATAACTAATAAGCTAACTAAGTCATTCGGTTGAATGCGGGGCGTGCCAACTCGTCGGCCAAGCTCGGCCGAGGAGTAAAATTTGTTGATGTTGCGTTGAGCGCGTTGCTGACTTCTTTATCTTGCGACTGTGATTGAGGAAGGAACACTCTCGGTCTTTGGGATCTAGAGCCTGAAGACGAGGCTGCTAGTTCTGCGAAGTTCACAAGTCGTCGGTGCCTGATTTGGTCACCGTGATTATATTCGTAAAAGTGTAAGCACGTCGAATCGACACCAGACTATACGAACACAAATATTCAAAGGTAATGTATGTCTTGATGGTGAACGTGGTTCGGCCGTCAGAATGCCGAACTTTAAAACTCACTTATGAATATCCAATCATAAAATCACTCGACGTCCGATACGCTGAATGTCGTAACTCGTAACACCTTACTTCGCCGAGACGGCTGATAAGATGACCCCTGCCAATAAGGATTCGAAAACCCTTCTCGGCCGAGACTTGGATAGATAACTAGTCGGCCTCGACGCAGTGCTGTTTATCCAAACTGAAGATGCTCTTCGGTCGGTTGATTCTACGGCAATAGTGCTGTTTATCCAAACTGAAGGTGTTCGCCGGTTGCCTCCACAATGTTGTTTATCCAAACTGAAGGTATGTTGGCGGAAAAAGAAAATGAAAAATTTCAAGGTATTTGAGAGGTTTTGCGCAGGGCAATTGTATGTTGAATTGAAGGTCCTTCTTTGTTGCATGATTTCTTGTATTTATAGCACCCACTCCTTGAGACCGAATCAAACCCCTATCTGGATTAGGAGTCCTTGCCCCATTCCAACTTTACTTCGAACAACCCTACTCCTATTAGGACTTTGAACTTACCCCCCTTCAAGGCTTTATTCATCGCTGGCCGAGAATCCTAGTTGCACCAGGACTTCCTCGACCCTCTTTATTTATCTGGACTACTCCTTCTTATGATAGGACTCGATCGACCCTGCTAAATGGCCCGGAATCCATCAGGCAGCCCATAGCATTTGACACAGCTTTGGGCCGAGCACAACCCTATGCTCGGCCCAACAATATTATTTCGGGCCCAAACAGTAATATATAGATTCAAAGAAAATGATGTGATCTACAAAACTCATTATGTTGCAACGAACCCATGCGGAATTCAAGCGAATTATGTCGTTTACCATCTTTTATTCGGATTTTAATAGTTTAGGATGTTTTCATATTTTTATATTTGTTTATTTTCTTTCTGATTTGGTTTTCCTTTTTTTCTCTGTTCTTTCCTTTCGCGCTCCTACTGTTGTGCTTTATTTCATCGTGTGTCACGAAGATTGAAGTCGCAACAAATCTAACCACTAACTCGGATCAAATCGTTATGCAAATAATCTTGTACGTGCAAAAGAGAAATTTTACAAAACATTGATTTTTTTTTTTGTTTTTGTTGGAAAAAACACGCATTGCCAGACTACTAGTCATTGAATTGCACAAAAAAAGGAACACAAATAAATAAAAGAACAATATTTGGATTTTGGGTCAAGCTGTCAATTGTCCAAGTCGTCCCTCATCTTTTTACAAAAAGGAATGACCTCAAAATGAAGAAATTATTACCTGCGACATATTCAAAATGAAGAAATTATTACCTGCGACATATTCAATCTCGTCGTCTTGACCATATAGGCATTAATTTTCTGGTTGAACTTTCTTTCCGAGTGAAATTTCTGGGTTCTTTCACATTCTCCAGTGTTATTAAATGCCAGAGAACTTGTGGGTTTGATTGAGCGCTATCTCTAGCTCTGGTCATTTGGCTTCAACTTTATTAAAACAGTAGAAATTTTTAAGACCGTTTTGATGGCTTTCTTAATACGTGATACCTTGTTGAGCAAACAACATCTTGGCAACATTTTTATTTGTTGCGTCTTATTGCTAAGTTGTAGTGTCAGCTTTGGTTTTGAGAGTGATATCAGCTGCCTTAAAAGCATAAAAGCCTCACTTGAAGATCCTTCAGGCTACTTAAGCTCATGGGATTTTAGCAACCACACCGAAGGCTTCATCTGCAAATTTCTTGGAATCGAGTGCTGGAGCGCAAACGAGAGCAAAGTTTTGAAAATCAAGCTTTCGGATTTGGGGCTAAAAGGTCACTTTCCTCAGGGCTTAGCTAACTGCTCATATTTAATTGGCCTAGATCTTTCCGGCAACAAGCTCAGTGGACCTCTTCCTGAAGATATTGGTAGAATCCTACCGTTTATTATTTCTCTTGATCTCTCATCGAACAGCTTCTCGGGGAAAATCCCCCGCAGTCTTGCGAATTGTAGCTATCTGAATGTGCTTAAGCTTGAAAACAATGAGTTCTCGGGTGAAATTCCTGCACAACTTGGCCAGCTCAAAAGGCTTAACACATTTAGCGTGGCCAACAATCTTTTGTCTGGCCAAGTCCCAAACTTCGGTAGCTATACTGCAATCACTGCAGAAAGTTACGCAAACAATGCTGGACTTTGTGGGAAGCCTCTGAAGCGTTGTCAATCGACTCTAGTTAAGGCTTTGGAGTCAAACAGTGTTGTTATTGCAGCAGCAGCAGGTTTTGGATTTGCTTTTCCTTTTTCTTTCTGTTTTTTCCTTCCAAGAGCTCCTAGTGTGCGTCGCTTGTGGGTTTTCTATCGAGGATTTAAACTTTGGTAGCCAGTAACCTTTTTCCTTTTAAGTTATGTTTCAGTGAAATTATATGCAGAGTTGTTGTTCCGGAGCATTTCAGTGTACCATGAAAATCCTCATGTGATGTTATTATATTCCTCTCAAATTATATTATGCATACGTTGATCTCTCATCGAACAGCTTCTCGGGGAAAATCCCCCGAGTCTTTCGAATTGTAGCTATCTGAATGTGCTTAAGCTTGAAAACAATGAGTTCTTGGGTGAAATTCCTGCACAACTTGTCCAGCTCAAAAGGCTTAATATATTTAGTGTGGCCAACAATCGTCTATCTGGTCCAGTCCCAAATTCCGGTGGTTATGTTCAGTGACGGGACCAGAAATTTACAACAATGAGATCATAAAATAGAAGCTTCTAAAAATTCATCAAACTTTTACTTATAATTGTTAACTTATAATTTTTTTTCTACAAAATATTCATTCCAAATCTATCAATCAATACAAAAACCCTAAAAATCCTAATAAACCCAAGATGAGAAAAATATTGACATGATTTGGATTCACTAATACAACCAAGTGCGATGAAAGGTGCTTGAATGAACTTGAACTCCAAGAAAACTTTGAATTAGGAGATATAAAGTCTAAATGGAAAAGGCATTTCTGTGTTTGATAAGTATTCAATTTGTTTGATAAGTCTGCTTATTTCATGATTTGTTGACACATAATATAATAACGAAGAGAATGTTGAAAATCGGTCGATAATATGTCGGATTCTTTTTGTTGACAATAATGATTAGTCTTTTTTTTTTTTTTTTTCCAGTCGACAATTAGTTATTTTACATATATATATATATATATATATATATATATATATATATAAGCAACACATATTCAATAGCCGAAGTAATGGAATGAATATTTTTCTCCTTCTCGTCCTCTTTTGTACCATTGTATGTATAGTTATAGTTAGACTTTGTGGCTTTAGGACCTTGCTCAACGACTCTACTATGTTGTGGTGTGTTCTTAGGTATTTGTCAATTTCACCATGTGTGTAAGGAAATTGGCCACCTCTGCTGTCTCTGCATCATTAATCGATCTCCTCGTATATGATAGGAAATGGATTATATTTGGATCTCTTCCATCAAATCCACCACATCAATCAATCCGGACCTTAAAAATTTGATCTAACGGCTAAAAACAAGAGACCCCTTTAAAAGTTATAATAACTTTAGCTATGAGATCAAATTTCAAAAACCTGAATTAATTGATGAGGTGGATTTGGTGGAAAGGATTCGGAAATGATCCCTTTCTCTCTTAGATATAGAAGCAAAAGTGGAGAACTTGGACCACTTTTCGAGTTTAAGAAATAGAGAACTTAAGAGCGAAGATAGGGCGTGACATGGCAAAAGTACTCGTGCTGTATGACAAGAATTAAGTTATTTCACAAGTAATAAAATTAAAAGGAAGCGGGGACAATCATGAAAAGTAATTGATAATTGATAATTCACGTGTTAATAGGTTATTTTATAATTATATCTTAAAAGTGAATGTTTTGGAATTTCTAATTGTCTGGATTGAAGCAATTTTGGTATGGTATGTCTGTTTTGGATCTGTAATATATAGGTTCAAAGAGAATGACGTGAACTACAAGACTCATTATGTTGCAACGAGCCCAGGCTGAATTCAAGCGAATTATATCGTTTACTACTTTTCTTCGGATTTTAATAGTTTTGAACGTTTTCATATTTTTATATTTGTTTATTTTCTTTCTTATTTGGTTTTGCTTTTTTTTATCTGTCCTTCCCATTCGAGCTCCTACCGGTGTGCTTTATTTCATCGTGTGTCACGAAGATTGAAGTCAAAACAAATCTAACCAGTAATTTGTATCAAATCGTGTTCGCAGATAATTTTGTACTTGAAAAAGAGAAATTTTACAAAACATTGATTGTTTTTTTTTTTTTTTTTGTTGGAAAAAATACGCATTATCGGACTACTAGTTCATTGGGAAAGGGATCCGGATCCCTTCCACCAAATCCTACCAATTAACAAATCCGGACATTTGAAATTTGATTCAACTGCTAAAATTATTATAACTTTGAAAGGAATCTCCTATTTTTAGCCGTTGAATCAAATTTCAAAGGTCTAGATTTGTTGATTAGTGGGTTTTGGTGGAAGGGATCCAAAGTGGATCCCTTTCCGTTCATTGAATTGCACAAAAGAGGAACACAAATAAATAAAAGAACAATATTTGGATTTTGGGTTAAGCTGTCAATTGTCCAAGTCGTCCCTCATCTTTTTACAAAAAGGAATGACCTTAAAACGAAGAAATTATTGACTGCGACATATTTAATTTCGACATCTACTTATTTTATAACACCTTACTTTAGTCATTACTAACAACGGTGTTCGCGCGATGCTGCGGGTTTTTAAACAACATAAAACATGTAGAAGATTATGTATACAACTCTGCTTAATTCAATCTATTTCCAACTCTGCCTAACTCAAGTAATAGATAAAAGTTTGTTTCTTACCGAAATATACGAATTTGAATGAAATGTATCAAAGAAGTATAGAGTGGAGCAAACCTTGTAATTTCTGTAAGGTGGGCAGCTGGAATACCAATAGTGATATAATTTGACGGAATCTGGCTGTAATCCAGCTTGGTTGTTCCTTGTAAATTTGTTGGAAAATGTAGTAGTTGGCTTGAAAACAACAATCAAGAGCGTTGAACGAATCAAACCTGAATGATATCAAGTCCAATCTTAATTATGTACCAATGGTGAACTTATATTTCACAGGCACCATGAAGCATATAAGTTTAACCAAACAATGAAAATCCAGCTAGAAGTGTCCATGTTTAAACATTTGAAACAAATAGAAGTCTAGTGAAACAATCAAAACCCAGTTAGAAACCTCAATGGTTGAACTCACAAACTATGTAAGTTTATGTTGTATTAATTCATGCACATCATTGCCCTAAAACAACTGAAAATGCTAAGAAAGGTTAGATATACATAGGATTTTGATGCTAAAAGCAGTACCTGAAGTGGGCAAAAAAGTTGGACAGTGCAGTGGACTTGAGAGCTTCTCCATGAGATATAAGACACATCATTATGGGCAAGAAATTCGGAATTTAGTGTTATGGTTGAGCGTATGGAAACAATATAAATTAGAAAGAGAAGGGGGACAACTTGAACACATATTGGAGGAGTTTTGACGCTATCTTTTATCAAATAGGTGTAAAATAACTATTCATATCTGCAAAGAACATCTAATAGAAACTGAGAAAAACAAAGCAAAGCAATTAAAACAATCTTATAATGCAGTTTCACACCAACACAATAAACAGATTTGTAGAAAATGCTGGCAAAACAAAGAATAACAAAAAGAAAAAACATGCAATGATCATAATCCAAAATCATTTAAGTAATTAATCCACATTGGAAATCACACAATACAAACCCAAACCAAAATATATCATGCGAGACATTTTATTTCTACCTTTGTTATTGCGTCTTTATACTGATCAATAGCAGAATTGCTTTCTTTTGAACAATTTGCGAAGGGCAATTTTTAAAAAACCTGCAATCACAATATATAGTTTTAACACGACAAAGAGGGAATTACAGTTTCAAGAATTTATAACAGCAAAACAATTACCCCATAGCGATAACATTGATTATTAAGATATATCTCTTAATCAAAATGAAAGAATACACATCAACAAAAAATGTTAAGTTTTTGTCCTTCCAGATCAATACACCTTAAAAATTAAGTGATACAATGAAAGTGAAAAAGAATAGGCAAAAGTGATGAAAAAAACACGGGTCCCAACTCTTGGATCGTCGATGATAACAGAGACCAACACCTGAAGAACCAGATTCAATGAGAAGGAATAGGAGGAAGAAGAAACGACCCAAGTTTAAACATCATAGAAAAGAAACTGATTTCAGTACCATAGAGTTTGATTTGGGGATGTCTTTTCTTGTTAGACTAAACATATAAACCAAGATCGTGTAACATGAATCACAGCCATCCAAACACAAACTGTAGTTTATAACCTTTGTACAAAGTAGAACTCTTACCTGCAGATCCAGCTTTTACACAAACGCACAACCTCCCCAAAAACCAAAAATATGGAACGAAAATTTGGAGGCCAATTTTGTGAATATTTTGCCAAATAAAGCACGAAGGATTTGGGAGGAATGCAAGATTTTAGAAGAACAGAACACAAAATGAAGATGGATCGAAGCACAGATTGGCGAGAGAGAAAAGCCAACAAAAAGGTAAAGGGAAGAAAAAACCTAGTCGTTCTTTGTACTGCTTCTCCTTATATCAATGAACTATCATATTTCTCAAAAAAAAATATATATATGTAATTATAGTAATGCAGGAGAACTTGGTCCCTTACATGATAACATTAGATGCTTAAACAATGAAAAACAAATGTTAAAAGCCCATCTGCCTTCTCAAATTTTAAGATATCCATCTAAATGAAATCACACAAAATCAAGAAACAATTCATCAAAGCACTCCTGCTTTCTTAAAATTTGACACATTCATTAAAATGAAATCATGCAAAATGAAACTTCAAAAACAAAAACACAAATACACTTATTCAAATAAGAAATGCATACACAATTACGAAGGAGTGGAAGCAAGGAAAGCAAACCCAAACCAACAACAGCTTTCCAACTCTTATCAAATCTCAGTGGAGGGAAATCATACCCAAACCAAACACAAAATCCGCTTTTAGCAGGCAAAGCCTGGATAACCTGGCACAACTCACCGCAAAACCAAACAACTCACTCACAGGTGTTAGAAAACCAACCTGAGTTGAATAAAACTTGTTTGAACAATGATCTGAAGGTAGGCTGTGCCCAGATTACACTAAAAATTTGTCAGAAGGTCGGCCAAAAACCCAGAATCGCGATGGAAAAAGAGGAAAACACTCTGAAACTCTCGTGTTAGCGATCGCAAAATTAGAAAGAAAAAAAAAACGTTTGATACAAATTTTATAAGATTTCGCAAAACAACGACAAATCAAAGGTTTACAGCGATGCAGAACCCCTTTGGAAACAGAGAACCCAAACAATCCCCCAAAAAATGAAAAACCAGAATCTGCAGTGAATATTTTACCAAAACTAAGAACAGAAGATTTGAGAGAAACTAAAAGCAAGAGCAAAACCTGGAGAGAAGCAGAGATTGGCGAGAGACAAAACACAAACCGAATGGTAAAGCGATGAAAACCCAGTGGAATTGAAAAGATAAACGATGATCGACATGTGGATCAAATGGGTAAAAACGACTTTTGACTGTAGAAAAAGAGGAAGCAACACGTTCTTACTAAGCTCATCTCCATCCGAAGCATTTAGAAAGCCAGAAGACTAAAAATAGTCCGAAAATCATCTCCAACCGAGGACGAGGTCAGAGGGTTCGTGGGCCCCATAAAATTTGAAAGGGCCAAAGAGCTAAAGGGCTAGATGGTTGGCCAAAAAATAGAGCAATCATGTTGGTTAATATATTTATGTCGGTTAGAACCGATAGGATTGCTTAAAAAAAATTTGAATCCAACTTCGGCTAGCCGTTAATTTTGAAATTTTTATTTTTTATTTACAATTTTTTTTTCTATAACTTCTATTTTTAAATTCTATATTTTTTTTATAACTTCCATTTTACAAAATTTGTTTCATATGTTTTTAAAATTCTACTTTTCCGCGTCATACCTAGGGTTTGGAATTGCTTGGACAAGTGTCACCCACTTTGGGTAGATGCCATCTGTCAAGTAATACCTCATATTGCATTGACGGCCGTTGATGTAGTAGTTAAGTTGAGGTGCTTTACCTTCCGTCAAGAGATTGAAGAGGGGTGAATGCCTAAGAACTGTAATGTCATTTTGGGATCCAGGGATTTCAAAGAAAGCATGCCAGATCCATGTGTCTTATGAAGCAACAACAATTGGCTTTCTCGACCTTCTGCTAAAGCCTCATTGTCATCCAGTGGGATAGTTCTTTCAATCCCAATGCATGCAGTCTAATGACCCTATTATGCCCGAAAACCCACAGTCTTCAGCTTTGCGAATGAGCCGATTCAGAGCTTCTTGATTTGGCTTGCGGAGGTACTCGTCTTCGTAAACCTGAACAATTATGTCACAGAATTGTTCAAGAGTATCAAGGCATGTAGACTTCGACATACCATGGGTTTCATCTATCGAATCAGCTAGGGAGCCATAGGCCATCATTCGGAGTGCAACAATAACCTTCTGATGAGGTGAGAAACCAGGGCGGCCTGCTCTGTCCCACTTCTGTCTAAAGTATGAATTGACCTGCTAGACATTACGAAGTAAACGCTCGAAGACATGACGCCTCATCCTGAAGAGACGTTTGAAATCCTCTTCTGTGTACACTAAGTTGGGGTTGAAGTAGTTATTCATCAGATTGGCATGCATGCGTCATTGCTTTGTTTCATGATTTGTAAGAGCGACCAACAATAGAGCCACCCCATTGAAGTTATTCCTTAGTTGGCTGACACACCATGGCATCAACCATGACTGCTGCTCTGTTTTGTTTGTTGCACCTTACTTGAACTTCTTCATCAGACTCCTCATCTTCATGTCTCATTTGCACCCATTTTTCTTCCAATTTGGAATTGGATGAGGACCCTAGTTGGAATCCGAAGAGTATCCAAAGTTGGAATTCATTGCAAACTTGAATTGAAAGAGATTGAATTGAATAGATTGAATTCAAAGTTGTGTGAATTATAGCCCAATATCCACCATATTTATTGCAAAAAAAATTCAAATCAAACGGCTGGCTGACATCACTGAGCCGTTGGATTTGAATTTAAGTTGTTGTTTTTAAATAACAAATTATGTTTGGCCCTCCGTTGGAGATGGAGGCAAATATGGCCATGTACTGTTCATTAAAATATAAATATCTTGGAAGGCCAGAGGGCTAAAATGAGTCATCTGGTCAGCCGTTAGTTAGAGATGGCCTAAGAGGGTGTAGTCAAACTAGGATTTGAGAGGATTTTAAAAGACTTAAAAATCCTAGTATAGTCAATTAAAAGATTTTAAAGGATTTTAGAATCCATTCAAATCTTGGTATAGTCAATTAAAAGATTTTAAAGGATTTTAGAATTCATCCAAATCTAAGTGTATTAAAAAAATTAAGATTTTGGAGGATTTCAATAAGTTGTGGATTTTGTGGGATTTGAGAGCAAAAAGTAGATATAACCAAGATTAAAAAGAATCCAACCTCACCCTCTAAGATTTCAAATCTTTCCACCACAATCCATTCAAATTCTTTAAAATCCATATGAATTTTGTAGGAGTCTTAAATTCTCTTAAATTCTATCAAATCTATCACTTTTAAAATCCTTCTGTCCGGACACTATAGATCAATAGTAACACAAAACTGGATTATATATAATATTACAATTCTTTTCTATTTTTATAAAAAAAATTCTCTTTGATATGGTAGTCGAGAAAAAAAACATGAACGTACAACCGCTCTTGCATTTAACTTATGTCTTGACCATATGGACATTAATTTTCTGGTTGAACTTTCTTTCCGAGTCAAATTTCTGGGATTTTAGCAACACCACCGAAGGCTTCATCTGCAAATTTCTTGGAATCGAGTGCTGGCACCCAAACGAGAACAAAGTTTTGAACATCAGGCTTTCGGATTTGGGACTAAAAGGTCAGTTTCCTCGGGGCTTATCTAACTGCTCAAGCTTAACTGGCCTAGATCTTTCCGGCAACAAGCTCAGTGGACCTCTTCCTGAAGATATTGGCAGAATCCTTGCGTTTATTAGGACTCTTGATCTCTCATCGAACAGCTTCTCGGGGAAAATCCCCCCAGAGTCTTTCGAATTGTAGCCATCTGAATGTGCTTAAGCTTGAAAACAATGAGTTCTCGGGTGAAATTCCTGCACAACTTGCCCAGCTCAAAAGGCTCTAAACATTTAGTGTGGCCAACAATAGTCTTTCCGGTCCAGTCCCAAATTTCGACGGTCCTGTTTCATTCGGACCGGAAAGCTATGCCGGCAACTCCGGACTCTGTGGAGGCCCGTTGAAGCCTTGCCAGTAGAAGCGTGGTACTATGGTCAAAGTTTGGAAGTCGAATGATGTAGTTATGGCAGCAGCTGGTTTTGGTTTTCCCCTTTTTTTTCTGTTTTTCCCTGCGAGCTGCTAGCAGTGTGCTGTATTTCATGGTGTCTCACGAGGATTTAAGTCGAAATAAATCTGATCAGTAATTCGTATCCAATCGTGTATGCAAAAAATCTTGTACTTGAAAATGAGAAATTTTTCGGCGTGACTTGAAAACTATGCACATGATTAATTATTGATCTCGTAAACTTTGCACATTTTACAAAACATAGATTGTGTTTTTATTTTTTATTTTTTGTTGGAAAAAAATCCATTGCCGGACTACAAGTTCATTGAATTGCACAAAAAAGGTAACCGGATAAATTAAAGAACATCCATTTGTATACCCAAAGACATGAAACGCGTCCTCTTATTTTTCAAACACCAAAAGTAAACCTAGTTGTATACTAGTTTTGCAATGAACTCATCGATGTGTTTATCAGAACTTCCACCTTCATCCACTGCCGTTGTAGCCAACCTTTTCCACTTCAAAGCGTTCATTCGAATTTCCGTCCCTCTATCCCCTTCCAATATTTCCTTCACACAACGTGCGATTTCTTCTTGTCTCACTATTCCATTCTCATCAGCTGAAGCTGTAAGCCCCATTTTCCACACATCCATAATAAACCTGGCATTGGTGCTTTGGTTAGTCCACTGCGGCACTGCCACCATTGGAACACCCAAACTCAAAGCCTCCAATGTAGAATTCCAACCACAATGTGTCATAAAGCATCCCACAGCCTCATGTGCTAAATAAACCTCCAATAGGGGGCGCCACGAGACCACGAAACCCTTCTCCGATGCCTCCTCTACAAATCCTTTTGGTAGCTTAGCCGCTTCTTTTTCTCTAACCACCCACAAGAAGTAGCTTTTGCTCCTCTTCAAACCCCGACTTAGTTCCTCCATTTGCTCAGCTCCAAGTTCTGCTAAGCTGCCAAAGGACACACATAAGCTACAGACTCTTTTGGCTTTGCATTTAGCCATTTCATACAGGCATCAGTGTTTGGATTAAAAAGACTAAAGCCATATTCTGTGTCATCTTCCCGCCGCTTATCCAAGTACTTTGATGGTATGGTTGGTCTGATCGTCCTCGATGGCCAAAACTTTGCCATCCAATCCACCACCTATATATGCACAAACAAATCAAAACACCAAATATAAGCTTGGAATTAAATTTAATGTTCGTAAGCTCAATTACTCTCTTTTTACATGAATTCAGTTTCATTTCGTTCGGAAAACGCTCTCTTTTTCTTAACAATGTCTTTGTCATTTGATCCAATAACGAACTTCCATGAGATAGGAACAACTTTGATAAATACTGATAACTCTCAGTTTGAGTAGAATGAAAAGAAAATCCATTAGATGATGAACTATTGGTTTTGTGCCATCTTTGCGATGAATCAACAATTCAAAGCACCTATCGTACATATTCCTGATTGTTTTGTACTTAAGAAAAAAGTTAAACTACTTAGTATATCTATCCTCTCCAGGAATGAATTTGGAAAAGAAAAACCATGAAAATCGTTCAATTTAATCATGATGTTGCACATCACTACTAAAAATCATTTAATTTGTCAAAAAGTTGTCACGCTAGAGGTTACATGTTTCTCTTTGCACGGTTCCTGTGATCAATACTGTGTTTGTGTCAATTATTTGCTGCATTGGGCACAATACATAGTGCCTTATATTGAATGGATACTGCTTCACCCTATTAGTGTTTAATGTTGTTTAACGAGACGCAAACTTCTCATTTGCGTCCTTAATTTTGTAATTAAAGCCCAATTTTTTGGTAGTGTATATGCACAATCCCAACATGTTTATTGATCAATTACCTCTTCTTCCAGCTCATAAAATGTGTTGCAGAGGATCCAATCAGCTTTGTCAACATTAGAGAATTGATCATCCACAACCATCTTGTTAGACAAATAAGGAATATGGTTGGAATCCTTGTGTAATTGTATATAATATTAGTATTGGAAGAATAAGCCGTCCTACAGCCGTCAAGCCATCCTAGCTTGTCTCCTAGCCGTCCT